CTCCCATTGGAAAAAGTCCTATAATACAAACATCAAACAACAATTTAGAAGTAACAACCATCAATAACTATCCCCAAACCCCTAAACTTCTTTAATCTCTGAAAAAGAACTAGAAAAAATAAAAAAAAGAATCCTAAAGAGCAAATTAACATTCTTCCTCGTAGATCTTCACAAATTTCTAAAGCACCAGAAAACCTCAACTTATAAATACAGCTGAACACTTTTAAGAGGAGGGTGAATGTTATGCTAATGTAATAAACATATACATATATTATACATATACGTTTTGTATTATACTATATATACTTTATGTATTTTATTACTTTGTTATAGACTAGTATAATAATAGCTTATATATGGTAGACTCTTATCAAACAATGAAATTTATTTTTCCAACAAAAATTTGTTTTTCAAGCAATATAAGAGTAGTTATCAGAATTCAATTTCTTGACCTGGTTTAACATTGAGTCAATACTAAATAGATTTAAGAGTTAAAAATATTCATAGAGTACAAATTTAAAGGGAAAAAATTCTTTCCATAGTGTAAAGGACTATTAGTATAAACTGAAACATTTATATGTAGTTTTTTTGAGTTGACAATTATACAACCATTTTTAAAAAAATATTTCAAGTATTGACAAGGTGTGCACTATTTCTTTTTCGCTTAATACAATTTGCTGTTGTCTGCAACCATTTTTAAAAAATTATTTTAAGTATTGACAAGGTGTGCACTATTTCTTTTTTGCTTAATACAATTTGCTGTTGCCTGCAAAAGTTTGGTACCACAATCACCATTCACAAGGAAAGATTGTTTTTTAAAATATAAAATAAAATAGGTCCTAAGATATTTATAAGTATGGTGTTTATACTCTTTATAAGAATGATGTTGGAATACAAGTTACCAATACAAACACATTGAAAACAACTCCTTAAGTAATTTGCAATAAAGTTTTCCTATTCATAATTACTACTGTAACAAAGCGTTAAAGTGCGGTTCATGTACTATTAACATACCCTGTTCAAGTAGGACAGTTATACTGGAAATATACATTAATTAGTGCAACTTCATAACAGTACATAACATACATAAGTAATTTAAACTTTCAAAAAAAAATTTGAAATTTTAGAAATTATAATTATTTAAGCATTTTGCAAACAAAGATGGTAGACTGATTTGGTAAGGGTAAACATGGTGTAATTTTGAATTTGTGACATAACTTGACAAGATATTTACAATTTAACTAAAATGTTATAAAAAAAAACAAATGTAGTTACAATATAAAATAATAAAAATAATAGTTTCTATAATTTATTAATTGTTTTAAGAAATAAAAACAATAGCATACAACAGTAATATAAATGTAATGTAAATAATGATGATTTTTAACCTGTTGTACTTCTGACAAAAATTTTTGTAGAGATTCTGCATTCAGGCAAATTTTGCCATATATTGTTCTAAATAAACAGCAAATTTGGTATTACAGTAAACTGTTAAAATCCATTGATCAAAACATAAATTAAAATCTACTGATTAGAAATTATTAGAAGTACGTCTACTGAATTTGTTTTAATACTTTTAAGAAATTATTGGAGTAACAGGGTGACTAACAATTAGTACAAGAACCTTAATAAAAAAAAACCATCTAATAAAATAAAAATTAAAAATGTAAACATTTTTAATTTTTATTATTATTACTCACTAAATCAAAATATTTGATTTAGTGAGTAGGATAATAACTAGTCATCCATCGACTCATCCCTTTAAGTAGCAATCAAATGATGTAAGCACAATGTACCCAAATAACAATGAAAAAAAAAAACGATTTTTGTAACTTTCTAATAATAAAAACCCAATATAAACTTAATAATTAAAAAAGAGATGTAAGCAGAACCCAACAGTTAAAAACATATTATAATAGGAATACCTTCCATAATCCTTTATTATGCTCGAAACTTCATTACTATCAAATGAAAAGAACTTAAAAAACTTTGCAAACTCAGTTCGTGTCAACTGTGCATTCTCATTATTTTTACCATCACTGCAGCATTCCTATTTTTAATAAAGAAAAAGTGATTGTAAACTACAATGTTGACTAATTAATTCAAAAGTAAACAACTTTGAACCAACTTAAACTTTGCCATTGCAGTTTTTTATTTGACATCTGTTTCATTTTATAACTTTGTGAAAGATAAAAATAAATATCTAAGCTTTTAAATAATTAATAAAAAACTAATAGAATATAAAATTATAAAAATTTTGTTATACATGTAAGTATTGTTTCAAAAATGATATATAAAAAAAACAACCTTTTTTGTTAACAAGAAAAAAAAACATAAATATTCAAATCATTATTAGTGGTATAAGTTAATTAAAAAAAAAATCTGAAAAACTTTCATTAATTTATTATTATAATACATTTATTATATTTACATATTTATATCAAAACATATAGTATAGTCAGTGCAATACAAATATAATCCTAATTCCATACTAATGGACACACAATAGAATGGGATTAAGTTGATTTAGGAAAAAAAACTAAAAACTATTTGTTATATATAAATTAATAAAAACAAGTTACAAATAATTTTTTTTTTCTATTTTTTACTTATTTGAAAAAACATACTTGAAATTTGAGCTTAATATCAGAGTTTTCTTTAAATATGTTTAAGGAATTAAACATCTGATTGATTTCTTTTAAACCAAGCAAATTATTCTTGTTGATATCAGCAGCAAAATATGCCTCACGTAACCAATCATCAACAATTGGATCTTCTGGTTTTTTAAACTTATCTAAAAACAAACAAAATTTTTAATAAAATAAAATTCTATTACACTGTTTACTACTGTTAATTACAAAGCTACTAAATATACAGCAGTTACCAAATATCCAGCATTAAATATAAATCGTTATCATATATTTGTCAATTATAATGTTAAACAATACTAAAAAAAATAAATATGTTTTTTGACAATTGTTAACTATTGATTATGTTAATGTTTACCTGATAAATATTGAAGACCTGAAGTCCAAAGTTTCAATTGGTTTTGGTCTTCTACAATAAAACCTATTTGATGTGCATTATTTTCTTCATCTTTATATGAAATAATAAACTGATGAAGAAGTTTCTTCTTAAAACAGAGTTTTGTTTCAATAGATTCCGCAACATTTATATCATTAATGTTTGAAACCAAGACTAAAATAAAACAATATTTGTACTTGAAACTTTTTATAAATAAATTTTAAATAGAAAGTGTCTGAAGCAAAAAAAAAATTGAACAGCAAAAAAAAAAATAAAACAGAAAAAAGTTAGATCTGAACTGCAATAAGGTCCAAAAGCAAAAAAATTCAAAATTTTACTAATTTGAAAAACACGAAGTTAACAAAAGAAATATTTAAACTGCATTATGTAAAATAAGTTTAAACCATGAAGTTTTAAACTTTCATTTATAATAAATAAAACATACAATCATAGAATATAAACATATATTTACTATTAATAAGATAACAAACTTTCATCAATGTTCATGTTCATAAGGTATCCAAAAAGCACTAAGCTGTCAAAATAAGTTGTAATACAAGATGGTACAAATGAGAAAAAAATGTTTTAAAAATGTTTTACTCCTTTATCTGAAAGAAATTTTTACTTTTTTTTCAGTGTAATAAAGTGACCAAAAAAAAAAATATAATCATGAGGTATCCAAAAAGCACTAAGCTTTCAAAATAGGTTGTAATACAAGATGGTACAAAGAAGAAATAAATGCTGTAAAAATGGTTTACTCGCTTATCTAAGAGAATTTTTTTTATTTTATTTTCAGTAAAAATATAAAGTGACCCAAAAAATATTTAATCATGAGGTATCCAAAAAGCACTAACCTTGCTTTAAAATGAACATTAGACTTAAAAAATTATGAATATCTGCACAATGCACGCAGTAATTGTTTTGAATAACTATTATTTGACCAACAAAAAATAAACCATTTTAAAATAATTTTTCTCAATAAAGGTTTATCTATTTTGAAATGTTTAAGATGCTTTCGAAAAATGTTGGAGTAATGAAAGAGCACCTAATTAGATTAAAGTGAAATGCACAACTTTTTTATTAAAAAAGTTGTGCATTTCACAACTTTTTTAATAAAAAAGTTGTGAAATTAACCCTATTTATAATATATATAATATATAAATATATAATATATATATATATATAACTTAACTTTATCTTACATTTTTTCTTTACTATTAATTCAGGGTTTTCTTAAAGTTTTAATTATAAAACAATATGGGTACCTTGATTCTTAATCAAGTATCTTAGCAAACTTTTGATTATAAAATTTTTTTTTTTTTTTTTAGCTTAAAATCTTTTAAAATTATATTTATAGTAATTTGAGTTAAAATGCATATTCTTATACTTTATTAATTTAGAAAAATAAAAAAATAAAAAAACAAATTATCATTATAAAAAAACATCAGCTAAATATCTAAATATGGTGCTAATTATTGTTTGAATTTGTTTTTATAATAAAAAAATAGTGTTATTTTCGAATCAAAAATTACAAATCTGAATTTGCCAGCCAATATAAATAAAAATTTAAATCTGAATTTGTCAGCCAATAAAAATAAATTACAATAAAAAAATAAAGAAAATGAGTTATTTTATAAAAAGTATAACGATGTAAAACTGGATTATTTCAGGATGAAATAGATGTGCAAGTTAGAGCCTATTTAAAGACAATACAGCCTTAAAATTAAAGGAATTTAATATATATGTATGTATGTATATATGTATGTATGTATGTATATATATATATATATATATATATATATATATATATATATATATATATATATATATATATATATATATATATATACATATATATATATATATATATATGTATATATATTAAAGTATGTATGTATATGCTGCCAAGAGGAGGGGGGGAGCACTGGGACAGTTTGTCACAGGTGGCAGATATCCAAGGGATGCCAAATGAAATGTATAAATATGTACCTGAAAAAAAAAAAGGTCCTTCATATACAATATAGGAAAATTTGATAAATTAGGGCGCCAATCAGGATTGCTGTCCCAGGCAAGACAGGTCTCGGCGCCCCTGTATATATATATATATATATATATATATATATATATATATATATATATATACACATATATATATATACTATTCAATAATGTATGCTAAAAGAATCTGTAAATAAAATAAAGAAATTAAAAGAATTTTGAATTTTTCTTAAATACTTTTTAAATAAACAAATTTTATCTGAATTTTCTAGCATAATTATCCTGCAGCACCTGTGCATATACCTTAGGTATTAACATATCATAAACATTAACTTATATACCAGGTGATTTATTTCAATCTACATTCTATATCGCCATTCAATTTATTATGATATGCATTTAAGTTACCAGAAAAAAAAGAATGTTATACAATAAAATATAATGTAAGGAAAATATATATTTTCCTGACTCATGAAAATATTTTTTGAGTCAGAAAAACATGAAGATAAGAGAGTCTCAAAGTGTTGATGTAAGAGAAAAAAAACTTGATGAATCAAAGATTTAAAGATGAGTTAACGGAGAAAGAGTTTTGGTAGCAAACTAAGTAGATACTAACTTTGCAATCGATTGTATATATAGTCTCCACCAAAGGTCAGTAGTGAATAATAATTCGAGAGGAGATTATATAGAGGGCTCATTGAAAGTGTTGCTGTTCATCATTATAAGAATATCAACAATAATATGATAATTATTTGTAATCATATAAAACTGGAAGCAAAACTTATTTCTTTCTATAAATGAATTTTGCTGCCCGTTTTATATGATTGAAGAGTGATGACTCCTTGTTAAGACAAGAGTATATTGTTGTGTCATCAGCGATTAGAGCCACTTTAGATTTTAGGTGTAGGATCGTAAGAAAAATATAGATAAGAAACAACAAAAGAACAAGGACAGAACTTTACAGTACTAAAGAAGTTTTAACATTAGGTATTTAATATAAAGAATGATTTAATATTATTATAAGCTCGTTCATATTATTTATCTGGGAAACTAATTGAAGTTATTATAATTTCAAATTGTTTATCTGGAAAAATATTTGAAATTATTATTTATTCATGTTCCTTGAAATTCAACGCCATGTTGAATCTATCATGAGCCCATTCTAATTACAGTTTCAAAATACTCATAGAGATCAGAGTTTCATAATATCCATGTTTATCAAGCTTGTATTTAAAGATTTTTACACTATAGACGGAATTTAAATTTTTTATTATAATTCAAATAGTTTTCCAGATAAATAATATGAAGCGAGCTTATGGAGGAGACTAGCGTTTCAGATTAGATAAGCTTTGACATTTTAATAACATCAGCCTCGCTTCGCCTCCTCTATCTAATGCACGATTCAATTAAGAACTTGTTAAAAAGTTGAGAGCATTTTAAAAAATTATGGAGAAAGACCATAAATATATATGTTGTCTAGACAACAAGCAGTACTTTCGTAACGGAAGCCGGAGTTAGACTCGGATGTCTTAAAATCAATATACATGTTTTTCTGGAATGACAAAAATTATTTTTCCAAATAGTTATGCTTTATCTTCAAAAGGCTTTTGTTTGAGATAACTTAAAATTTAGAAAACCGAATAAAAAATTTATCACTTCCTAAAAGAGGTATAAAATTTGCATCCAATAGCAATCAAACCGTGAAATACGTGGCGGGATAGCTGAGATAGTTAGAGCATCAAAGGAAAAGTTAAAACCCGGGCTGTTGAACAAATTGTGTTCAAATCGTTGAACAAATTGAGTTCAAATCCCGCCACCGCCAACTCAGCGCTTAAGTAGTACTTCGGTATTCAAAAATGTTGGTCAATAACGGACGCTACTATGAATTAGTCTTAATGACTATTTGTGGCTGTTCTTATGCTAAGCCAACAATATCTTCGGATATAAGAACATTGTACAGAAAAAATATAGCATGAAAACTCAAATAAAAAAAAAAAGGCTTAGAGTTCCTCCTATATTTAGGATTGATCATGATAAAAATTAAAAGTTGGATTCCAAAACACTGTCCATCCAAATAGCAATGAAGCAGAATCCCAAAAAAGACTCCGGATTTGAAAGTCAAAAAAAACGATTATTTCTTCCCAAGTTTTAATTTTCTAATAGTAAATCAAAAATAAAAGATTTAACGCCTGACCCTTAAAAATTTACAAGATTTACTTAAAAAATATAATTAATGCTTGGTTTTCTATTGTATTTTTAGTATCATTTGTGCGTTATGTCCCTTAGGAGTCATTTCGAAAAGTTGCACAATTATTTTTATAAAAAAGTTCAAAAGTTCGTATTTTTTGTTATTAAATGTTAAGTTGACTCAATTTTAAAAATCAGTAAGTTTTGTTTTGTTTTATCTTCTTTAAGAATTTTATCAATGTTTCTTGAGAACTTTGTTCATTTTTTTTTTTTTTTTCAATTATAGAAATAATTTTATCTTACGAATAAAAAATAATCTCATGTCACATAATATTTCGAATTCGAGACAAAAGTTGTCTGGGTATGAGTACAGAAAAAAAAAGATCAAAAATTTGAAAAAATTAAAAAATTCATGAGCATTGAAAAATATGTTACTTATAAAAAACCTGACGAAAGTCGTGAAGAATATTCAAAATAATTGTCAAACTTCATTGGATATCAAAGTAGATAATGAACCAGTTATATTTTAAAAATCAAATGATCTATCGGAAGATTTTGTACAAGAAACATCTAGGATGAAATGCAAGAAGCGAACTTGAGTCAAGCTCAACTTGAACTTTACATTGCAACCAAAAGCGATAAAGTATTGCTTTTCCCCTCAAAAAATACTCTGCCGCTATTGGTTACAAAGTAAAAGTCGAACTTGACTCAAGTTTGCTTCTTTCATTCCACCCCTAATTTATTGGATTGTGGAAAGTGGCCAATTGTTCAATCTAGCAACATTACGGACCATTTAATTAAACTTGGTCCTTTTCATATTACAATGGTAAAATTACCCTGAAGATAGAAATAGTCGACATTTATCTAGCATTTATTACATTAGAAAACTTGCAAATGGAGAAGCCTTTTGCCGTAGATGGTTGGTTTATTCAGATTCTTAAAACTCCATATTTTGTTTTTGCTGTCTACTTTTTGATAATAATTCAAAGTCAAACTTAGTCTCTGCTGGGTTCAATAAATGGAGACATTTAACTAAAACATTGGGAATTCATGAAAATAGCGTCTTCCATGAAAAATGTTATTAACAGTGGATAGAAACTGAAATAAGATTAAAAACTGGAAAAACTCTAGATAATGAAAAACTTAAAATTATAGAAAAAGTTTGCAATGGCAAAATGCTCTTCTTTGCTTGATGAATGTCATTTTCCTAGCTGAAAATAATATGGCTTTTCGAGGGAGTTCAGATAAACTGTTTTCACCTCAAAACGGCAATTTCTTTGGACTAATACAGATGCTTGCAAAATTTGATCCTGTGATGCAAAAAAATTTAGCACTTGCAATAAAAGGTGGCTCTTCAGATCATTACTGCGGGAAAAAATATTCAAAATGAGTTAATAGATTTAATGTCTCAAAAGGTTAATGGTGAAATAATAAACCGAGTCTTGAAAGCCGTTTACTATTCAATCATTGCTGATTGTACACCTGATATTTCTAAAAAAGAACAACTTTCTCTTATGATTCGAATTGTTGACTTGTCATTAGACATTAGAGTTGAAATTAAATAATACTTTTTTGGGTTTTTTTCTGTTTCTGATCCTACAGGCTTAGGACTTACTGAAGTATTAGTCGAATTGCTACCTAAACATGGACTTGAAATCTCTAACTGCAGAGGTCAAGGGTATGATAATGGATAAAATATGGAAAGATTAATGGGGTACAAAAAAGGGTTCTAAATCTTAATCCTTTAGCATTATATGTTCCCTGCGGCAGTCATATTTAAATTTGGTAATAAGTGACTTTGCACGGTCTTCAGTAAAACTTATAACTTTATTCGGTATTCTCTAGAAATAGTTCATTCTATTCTCAGCTTCAGAGAGCCAATGGAAAATTTTAATTGATCACGTTAAAATTGTGCATTTAAAGAAACTCTGTGACACGCGGTAAGAAGCAAAAATAAGTAGTTTCAAAGCTGTTCGTTATCAAGTTGGTGATATACATGATCCTTTGATAGCATAGTCAGAAATTGAAGGATGTGATCCTGAAACTGGACAAGAAGCGATAACCCTAGCGAAGCAATTGAAAGATTTTAGCTTTCTTGTCTCTTTAATTGTCTGGCATGACATTCTTTTTTAAATCAATATTGTAAGTAAAACTCTATAAGAGAATGCATGGACATTACTCAATGTGCAAAATTAATGAAAAGCTGTTGCTCATCTTTAGAAAACTACAGACGTAGAATTACAAGTGGAGTCTGTTTTTAAACCATTTAAAAGAATAGTACGAGTAAAACGCCATTTAGACGAAACATCCCAAGATGAGATTTTTTTCTAAAGAAATAAAGAAATCTCCAAATTAATAAAACTGAGATTAAAAGGCAAACTCACGGTAATTTTTTAAGAGTGAATTTTAATGATGAATCTATCATGGAAACAGCAAATAAACTCCATTGAAAAAAAAAAAATCTCAAAAAATATTGGCATAATCTATAGAACAAAGATTGGGCAGGGAGGGACTGGAAAACTTTGGGGTATTTTTGGTTCCCATGCCTCCATCATTGAGGTTTTTAACCTAAATTTAAATTTGATTAAGTTAATAGTTTGTTAAAATACAACGAAATTCAAGGACTTACTTTTGAAATTACTCCGTAGAACTGATGGTTTATATCTTAAAACAGTTTTGTCTTCATCAAGAAAAAGATATTTTTTCTTCATTAAGCACACAATATTTGTACTTTTTTTTGACAAATTTGATTGTCTAACTTCACATCCATTGCATAAAAGTTTCAATATTTCTAAACAGATACATAATGGTTTATTTATATATAAATATATATATATATATATATATATATATATATATATATATATATATATATATATATATATATATATATATATATATATATATATACATATATATATATATATATATATATATATATATATATATATATATATATATATATATATATATATATATATATATATATACATATATATATATATATATATATATATATATATATATATATATATATATATATATATATATATATATATAATATAATATAATATAAAATATATATATATATATATATATATATATATATATATATATATATATATATATATATATATATATATATATATATATATAAAAGATATATATATATAATATATATATATATACATATATATATATATTATATATATATATTATATATATATATATATATATATATATATATATATATATATATATATATATATATATATATATATATATATATATATATATATATATATATCTTTTATATATATATATCTTTTATATATATATATATATATATATATATATATATATATATATATATATATATATATATATATATATATATATATATATATATATTTTATATTATATTATATATATATATATATATATATATATATATATATATATATATATATATATATATATATATATATATATATATATATATATATATATATATATATATATATATATATATGTATATATAAAATATGCATTAGCCAAATTTTTTTTCTGACCACAATTAAAAGACCAATTGTATTTTAGCAAAATATGGGGGGGGGGGGGGATCCAGCATTTTTTGATCTCTGAGATAGCTAAATTCTTGATATGGTCAAAATCCAAACATTTGTAACCCCCTCAAATTGAGGGAACTGAAATATCATACAATAAAATTTAAAATTTATCGATAAATATAAATTTAGTTAAGAATAATACAAAAAATATTTTATCAACTTGTTGCTCTCACGTTTGGGACAGGAGGGGCAAAAATTTTTGGGCTTTTGTTCCTAGGCTCTAATCGTTGCAATTGTTTGCAAAGCATCCTTGTTTGACATAAGTATAAACATATAAATATATGGAATTTACTTCATGCCTGGAACCGAGGCGGATTATAACTAAGGCAACTGAGGCACGTGCCTCTGGCCCCCTAATCCTCTGGCCCCAAAATTTTGTTATTACTTATTGAAAAGTACCTTCTTTTATTTGAAGTATTTAAAATCATGTGCTATTGGAAAGAAAGAACTAGAAAGCAAGAACAATTTCCGTAATAATATATGTTCCTTTTAATACACAACAACAGTTACAAAACTCCGTAACAGCTATGAGTTGACTCAGTTGAGAGTTGACATTGTTGAAAATGTAGCGTACTCAGAGGCGCCACCAGCATTTTTTGGTCTTTGAGATAGCTAACAACTTCCAGACATAAAGCAAACTCCAAAATTTTATATGTTTATATTTATGTCAAATAAGGATGCTTTGCAAAAATTAGCGATGATTGGAGGTTGAGAACAAAAAAGCCAAAAAATTTTGTCCCAAACGTGAGAGCAACAAGTTGATGAAATATTTTTTGTACTATTTTCAAATAGACTTATATTCATCAATAAATTTTAAATTTCATGTTAAAACATTTTAGCGTTCAAAAATTATGACTATATAAAGTTCAAACCCCCTTCAATTTGAGGGGGTTGCAAATTTAATATTGTCATAATTTTTGAACGCTGAGAGATAATACTATGAAACTTAAAATTTATCGATGAATATAAGTCTAGTTGAAGATAGAATAAAAAATATTTCATCAACTTGTTGCTCTCACGTTTGGGACAAAATTTTGGGGCTTTTTTGTTACCAAGCTCCAATCATCGCAACTTTTTTGCAAAGCATCCTTATTTGACAAAAGTATAAACATATAAATGTTTGGAGTTTGCTCCATGTCTGGAAATCAATCTCAAAGATCAAAAAATGCTGGCGGTGCCCCTGAACGTGCTCATATAAAGTGGAAACTTTTTCCCATTGTACAACAGTTTAGAAGTAGAAAAGTAAAAGTCGAAAAACAGAAAGTGAAAGTGAATATGAATTCAGTGAAGTTAAAAATCAAGAACTAGTTGATCTTGAACCCGCTACAGCTTAAGCAGACGTTGACTCTGAAAGTGTACAAAAACATGCAGTGGTAGACCTGCCAATTGTTTATGAAACTGATCTTGGTTTATGAAAAACAGTTTCATTAAACATGCAATCTTATTTTATCAGCTTTTATCTTCATTATTTTGTGAAGGATTTTTGCGACCAAAACACTCAGACAGTAGTATAAAACAAAACCGGTATTGTACTTCATTATTTAACATTATAAATTAACTGGTGAGAATTCCGAATATACCTGGCTTTGCTACTTGCCATCAAATTGACATGTTTATTGTTTTAAGTGTAAGCTTTTATTATTGGATATGAAATAATTTTCCTTTTACACACTTTTAATCATTGGTAAAATGGATAACGTGATGTTGAGCTACATAAAAATAATGGAAAGTTGTATATCGGCTTGTTTAGCATTTGCACAGCGACGCGATACGATTGGTTGTGTTGATAAGAAACTGGAGAAAGCTATGACCAATCAAAGGTGAAAAAAATGAATCTAAGTATAAGTTATCTATTCTTCGGCGGACGGTAGATGTGGTAAAGTTTTTAGCTGAGCGTGGTTTGTTACTTCGTGGACATGAAGAGAACTTTGGTTCAGTACGCAATAGTAACTTCATGGACATCCTCGATCTATTAATTCTTTATGGTCCTTTTTTGTCTGTCACAGACAACATGTCACAGACATGTTGTCTGTGACAGTTCTTTATGTAAAGAAAGGTGAACTAATTTAGCATTTTTTGACATTCATTAAGTTTGAAAGTCACATTGGAATTGAATTATCAAATGCATTACTGGAGTTCTTAGTCCTTCTACTCATCGGTGTACAACCCTGAGAAAAGAGTTAGCCAAAGACAAAACATCAGTGCATAAATAACTATCATACAAAGATGGCCAGCACATGCTGATGCAACAAAAGCTTTGCGAAAGGTTTAAAAGAATATTCAATCTGCTCTAAATACCATTGCAATTGATGAACGTAAAAAAGGTAAAACTTGACAAGAGAAGCTTGGACTACCAAAACGTCTTGATGAATTGGAAACTAGTATTTTGTCTATTTTTTAAGACTGCAAAGATTCAATAAAGCAATTCAGTTTTATAAGGTGTCACTTTAGACTTGAATGAAGCTGTTAGTTTGTTGCATTCATCCTCTGAGTATGTTCAATCGTTTAGATGTTCAATAGAATTGAATAAACTTGAGAAATATGAAAAAGAGTTATCCATATGTGATATATATAAAAAAAAAATCAAAATAGTTAGGAAAAGAAAGCAACAGTTCAATGAAGGTACTTCTAAAGAAGTTTTTCTTCTTGTAAGAAATGAATTCTGAGTTAATGTGCTGATTGCTATTCAGATGTGGCCAGGAGATTTGGGTTCATAAACAGTTTGCAAACATTGACTTGTATAGAAGTGGTAAAACATTGTGATACTTTGGCAGCACATTACTCGAATAACATTGAAGTCAACTTGAAAGAGGAAATTGTTCAATTTCGGTTGCAGTCACACAAATGAATTCTGATGTTACAAAAACAAACAAGGAATCGTTAATGTACCGCATTTTGCTCAATAATGGTTAGGTAGAAACTTTTTCGAATAAAGCAGTAATTTTTAGAATTTGCAAACGGTGGCAAATTGTACAGGAGAAAGAAGTTTCTCGCATTTAAGCGTATAAAAATTGAATGCCGTACTAGAATAAATCAAGAACGGCTTGACATGCTTTCTTTGATGAGTATTGAAAGTAAGGTGACCATGACAACTCTCATTTGATGTTGAACATTGTTGAACAATTTGCAAGACAAAAACCCAGAAAGTATCACTTTGATTTTTAAATAAATAACTGAAATATTAAATGCCACTCACTTTTTCTTAAGTCAGAATGCCTTTAAATCATTTGTGTCTTTTATCTTTAGTAAAATATTTGCCTTGATATACTTTTTTAAACCTAACTTCTCATGTTATGATATCATTCACAAAAGTAAACGCCAATTCTTGGTATATGTGAATTTAAGGTAGTCTTAACTTAATTGCTAGTTTTTAGAAACTGCTTATAGAAGTAAAATTAGCTTTAAGTCAACCTCGATCTTTTTTAAACTTTAAGTATACCTCGATCAGGTTCATAAGGAGGCAAAAAATAAACACTTCCAGAAAGCTCTGTGATAAGAACGTTATATATCATAAATGCACTTTTAAATCACCTAAAATGTTTTATATTTTCATAAAAATGTTTGTTTTTTTTCCTCATATTTTGCCGTACATATAACATTTACAAATTTTTTAAATTAAAGATGTAATATTTACAAATTTCGGGAAATATATAATGAAATTTATAATTAAATAGTACGGGCAGGACTTCAAGAAGATCGTAATAATCTTATCGCGAACCCCTTACAATTTCATTGATAAATATTATGGTTATGTTAAATATGAATATATATTAAGTACAAATATACTTTGATATTCTTTAAATTAAAATAAACTCAAGATAAAATATTGACTCAAAATAAGCTCAAGATAAAATTTAAATATAACGACTACCCCTTACACTAACAAGCACAAAACACGGGTGACCAAAGATGTTGCAAACGTTGTGAAATTGAAAAAGGAACTCTAGGGCAAATTTATTGCATCTAGCCGAACAAACAAGCCATCTTTACGCAAACAGCATAAAAAAGCAAACAAAGTAGTAAAAAAACTAGTTAAATCAGCAGTTCCTGCTTACAAAATGGAACTGGTAAACAAGAGCAGGCATGACCCAAAAGTTATTCACTTGTACGTCAAAAGCAAACAAGAAACACTCGACCGCCTCCGTCAACTTGAAACAACTAA